ACAGAAACACCTCCAATGTGTGTGTTTGGGTTATGACTGGTATCATATACCTAATTATGTTTATATGACATTCTAAATTAGACATAGTCTCAGCTAGTAAAAAAAAAAGTAAATGAAGCCAATTGCTTTCATTCATTTACTGTTTATTTCTTTTTAGTTGTGTCTGTATGGAGGTTATATGCATGAGAACACAGGTGCCCATGGGGTCAGAGGCATTGGATGTCCCTGGACCTGGAGTTGCAGGTAACTGTGAGTCACTCAGTGCAGGTGCTGGAAACCAAAACTGGGGTCTCCTCTGCTAAGAGCACCACCTGCTCTTAACTGTTTGACCATCTCCCCACAACAAATAAAACCAATCCAATGCTCTTCTTTCAGAAATTACTTTCTGAATATAGTCATCTTGACTCACATCACCAACATCTTACAATGCTTTGCAGTTTAGCCAGGAAATGCCTTAGATGCTGCCATGTTTGAATGCCACATGGCTTCGATGAGACTCTCTGTTGTTCAAAGTACTCAAGTATTGAAAATCAGAGCAAACAAAAGGACCATTATAAAAGAAAAAACAGTACCCCTCATTCATGTCTTCAAATAAGACTAGTTCAAAGCAAGAGAGGAAATGAAACTGGGAAATCTACCATCACATCCACACTGAGAAGGATTCCAGAGACCACACGACATGCACGCATGCGCTTTGCAGCAGAATCCTATCTTTGGTGATTGTGACACATTCTCCTTCCATTAAAACTTCATCTTCTAGAAGACGTTCTGGAAGTATCTTATATAAATCCTCTCAGGTAAGATCAGGCCAAAACATGAAGCAAAAAGTTAAATGGGTTGTTTTGCCAATTGGCCAACTATTCTTTAGAAAGGTTTGGGATTGATAGATTAGATAGAACTTGCTCTCAATACCTAGAACATCTATAAAGGATACATGTACTGATGAGGCAACACAAATATATTTGCTTGCATGAAGCAAAATTATCTTACATTAAACCACAAGATCAAGTTCTTCACAATGTCCTCAGCTTATTGGTTTTAATACCACGGGGAGACATTTACAGCCGTCTCAGAGTCCAATGTCTATAAAGACAGACCACCTTAAAGAAAAATACCATCATGTTTAAGACAGTGGTGCTTTAGACTGGTAGACAGTGATACCTTGGACTGGGGTAGTAAAGCCCTGTTTTTATGGAAAAGGATGGGTCTGAGGTCATTCCATAAAATTGATTTCCCAGAAAATGGAAATAGGCAATTTACTCTAAGAATTTTATTGAAAAATTATGCTATTCTATTTGAATAATGATGGGAATGTTCTACACATTTCCTTTATTAATGAATTAAAATACACAAAACACCATAAAATTATATTAGAGGTTCAAAAGTATCACTTAAATCTTCTTTACCAGTCACTTTCATTTTGTAAAATCAGCAGTTCCATTAAAATCGTATTACGTAAAAATGGGTTTTTACTGTAATAATAGTTATTACCTATTTAGCTCCCAAGGATGTTGTGAAAATTAAATAATAAGCCTTTGTAAAGCAAATACAAAGTGTCGCTAATATCAGAGGCCAAGAGGGGCAGCCAGATGGCAAAAAGAAAGGGAAAGAGCATCCCTAATACACCACAAATCACAGCCTTCACCTCCAATTCCATTACTACAAACACTTGAATCAGTGGTCATGTGGACTGATGCGATCTCATTTCATCTTCTTAATATTATGATATATTAATCTTAGCCCTCATGTTATATAGATGAGGGTCATTTACACAGTTGGCAAATGTCAGGAATCCAATAGTGAACCCAGGTTTACCCTATTTGATGGCTTACTCTATATCCACTGAGGAATTCCCCATTTTCCTAGTGTCTTATAATTGTGCTTTGAATTCATAACTCCTCTTTCACAGTCCATTTCACATACCTTTTCCTCCAAGATTCACCTTTCCACTATTCATCGTAGACAGTTTGCATCTAGGCACACAGTGTTTGTTGTAGTTTGGGATTATTATTATTCATTGTATGTTTTATTAACGCAGCTAAACCACTGGCAGTCTGAGAACATGAGCACAGCTTCCTCACTTGTGGTGCTTAGGTGCTATATACATGATAGTAACCTCAGACACAAGGCAAATGATTTTACCAATGGTTCATTGTGGTAGGTTCTCATCTAAGCAGTTTCTCTGGTTTTTCTAACAGCAAATATATTAAGCATCAAATTTCTTTGCATTTATTTTTATTTCTAGTTAAAGGAATAATGTGAATAGTAAGCACTAAAATATAATTGGGCTGTTTTTTTTTTTAAATCAAAGCAGGTAGATGGGGTAACTTTAAAAAGATGGGAGATACAAAAAAGAAAGCTAGGTATGGATCCTAATGGTAAGATCCTAGAATGTATAAGGCTACACATCTGGATGCCAGTGGGTGAGTGTGTGTGTGTTTGTGTGTGTGCTTGTGTGTGTGTGTGTGTGTGTGTGTGTGTGTGTGTGTGAGAGAGGGAGAGGGAGAGAGAGAGAGAGAGAGAGAGCTCATGAACACATGTGTACATGTGTATGTGTGTATGGGTATATGCTGTATGTATGCTCATATGTATAATTATGCATGTGCACATGTGTGGGGGAGACACAGAGAGAGGAGGGGGTGCTTTCCTACCTTACTTCTGACTGGGTAGAATCTGCATGGGTTACCTCACATTTCCTTGTCCCAGATTCTTCATTTGTAAAATCATGGATAAGAACAGGATCTACTTACAAAGCAGTTGTGAGAATCAAGTCAAAATGTCCCCATATCACAACACAGTAGATAACACACACCAAGCACTGTCATCAAAAAATAAATAAACACAATTCTTAGGAATCTGTTCCAAGGATAAGAAATTGTTCTTCACAGACTTGGACAGTCTCGAATGATGTACTATGAAAAACCTTTCAACCTCAAAGATTTGGTTTTGCTGTTAAATTGCATATGTCAGCATTAAGCTCATGTCCTTCATTCAAGCAGTATTTAGTATCTAACTTGTGCAAGAAAACACAATGGGCAAAGAACAAGGTTTTCGTTACATATTCCATGGCTCCTTTTTCTCCCCTCTTTTTTCACTTGAATGCTAAATATAACAAACGATAACTGGGTATGTCTTAAACACCCCCTCTGCTTTCATTTCATAATGACACAGCTGGGTGGATTAAATGATACCTTCTATGTATCCTATACCTACAGGTGTATTCCCAGCGCTCCTTTCCCTATAGCATAGCTTTGTGTGTTTTGGAACAGCTTCCAGAAGAATCCAGGCCTATAGTCTGGGCTGATGGGGTTCACAGGGATGAAGGATAAGAGGAAACACCAAGGTCCCCCAAGCACCAGACCACACAGTAGACAAAGCTTGCAACACCATGAAAGATAGTTGAGACTGCTATTTGTTCATCATCAAAGCCCCAAATACACTAAAAGCTTGGCAACTTTCAATAGCTTCCCTAGCTTCCTGCATGAAGTATGGCAAATTTCTAGCTTCATGGGAAAACCACAGCCTGGGGCAAATCCACTGGCTAGATTCAGCAAAGGCAAGGCTGGGGGAGAAGGGATTTTTTTCTTTGTAGTATAGGAATGACTTATAAGCCTGTTTATTCAAAAAGTTCCATCCTCCATTGAAAACATAGGTGAATAATTGGGAAATGGATAAAAATATTTCAAGTTTTCATTTGACAGCTCATATGCTCTATCCTTTGTCTTTCCTTGCAGTTATAAAGACATCTCAGAAGACTGCCAAGTGACCAGTGTGCTTTGTCTGACTCTGATATTGTAAATAACATGAACAACATATGTACTCTGTTTTTACTTTACTCTTATTTCTTTTGGGAAGCAAATGTACGCTTCAGCTTAAAAATAAGGAATTCGAATCAAATTGCTTGGGTTCAAATCCCAACTCTTCTGAATTGCAAGTTGTGCAACTCTGACCATGTATGTTATTCAGCAGCCATGAATTTCTGTTTTTCTGACTGTAAAATGAAGACAATGGCCTTGCTCTATTCACATGGTTAACTAACTACACAAAGAACAGTCCTGATACATTGTTAATGCTCAGTAAATGTCTGACATTATTATTGATTCACAGATAGACAAATGTTCTCTCCCCATTGCAGAACATTTGTTTACTGTAACCTTGAAATAGCCACATTGACCATGAATGGAATTAGGTTTTGTGGTGTTCAATAAACATGGTCTAATTACCTGGAACTTAGATGGACTCTCCTTTAAGGAAAATGAATGTCTTAAATATGAGTGTGCTTTAGTGTATTTCTGAATTATCTTTTCCCCACATCTGTTGTCTTCCATTGATCCAAGTCTTTTAAAGCTAATAACAGTAGGTGATACACACTAATAATAGTAGGTGATTCACAATGGAAACAATTTCAAAGTGAAGCCACAGAAAAGCAGAAAAATCTTTGCCAACTATTCATATGACAAGAAATTAATATCTAGAATATACAAGGAACTCAAGGGTTGGAGATGGAGCTTAGTGGTAGTGTGCTTGCCAAAATAAATAATTTAACCAAACACCAAAAGAACAAATAATCTAATCAATAAATAGGCAGATTAACTTGATTGACAGGTAGTCCTCAAAGAAGGAAGTGCAAATCCAATACATATATGAAATATATTCAATATCCTTAGTCATAAAGGAAATACAAATAAAAACTACAACAAAGATTCCATCTCATCCCAGAAAAACAGGTATCAATAAGGAAACAAATGCTGGCAAGGATATTAGAGAGAAAGAACACTTACTCACCACTAGTGGGAATGCAAACTGATTCAACCACTACATAAAACAATATAGAGGTTCCTTAAAAACCTTAGCATGCTTCCTCCCCCATATTAACCTCCCTACGTAGCTACTTATTTCTACTCTTTTCCTGTCTTGCATTACGTCATGCAATCTTATCCCCAGTCAGATTTGGTTCAGCTCGGGTCATCTGTTTCCTTATCACAGCTGGTTTCACTTACTGGGTAAAATCAATACGTCATCACCAGGTCCTGGGATGGTCTGATTGTATCCTCCCCAGCCTTTTGTAACATCTTGCCATGTTTCAGGAAGGGACCATTTTAAAGCTGAATCAGGGACAGATGTAGAAGCTGGAATACACAGAAAAGGTGCAAAGTTAACTCTGAAAACCCAAGTCTTTGTGACAAGTTCAAGAGTTTATTGTCGTTTTATGGCTGCTACTTTCACCTTTTAAACTACCTGGTTTTTGAGTATTAGAAGTTTCTCTAAAACATTTCATAGCAAGAAAGCAACTTATTACCCAACTCTTACACTTTTGAGAATATATATTCCAAGCTTATTAAACATTGGCATTCGGCTTCATTATAAATATTATATAGCTTATTATGGATTGTTTTGAAAATGCTAATAAAGAAAAGCTAATAATTGCCCAAAACCTCACCACATAATAATTACCTCAATCAACCTTTTATTTGTGCTTCCTCCCATAATATCTCAGTGTTATTGTATAATTGAAATTATATCAGATCCCATTTTATTTTGTTAGCTTAGTTGTTTTTCTTATGTATTTTCTAGTGACATTAAAGCTCTTTGTAGACACAGTTTTAATGATTGAATAATATTCTATCATATCCGCAATCCATTTTTTCTCTTACTCTGCAACATGAAGAGTCTTTCTAATAGTAAACAACATGATTTGAGCAGTCTTTATACAAATCTAATCATAATCCTGATTATCTACTAAAAAAAAAAAATGGGTTCCTCCTTGGAATGGCTGAGTCATAGTATGAGCTTCTCACAGCTCCTGATGTATGAGAATGGCAGGATTATGACCTGGACATTTCTTAGGATAGCAATTTATCTACAGATCATGTTTCTTTATTGATTCTGTCCCTGACCATTAGCATTCCAGTGGTACCACACCATGGCATTGATAAATACTAACCACTTTCTAAAGAGACTTCTAGAACCACATTATGGACGTTGTCATGTTGTGCTGTATTCAGTTGCCTTTTTCTGGTTTTGTTGTTTTGGTTTGGTTTGGTTTTTTTCATGATATAATTAGTACAACTGTTAGACTCCCGGAAAACTCAGGTATCCGGGGTCCCAGGCCACGTTCACGGTCACCCCAATCACCAGATGGATTTGAGAGCTTGATGTAAACTGCACAAGGCTTTATTGTAATTTAACGAGCTAACCCCATGTTAGCTCGGATCTTTCACCCACCTGCTATGGCAGAGGCTAGCAAAAGACGGCTCCTAGGGCCTCCCAAGAGATCTTATAGGACAGCATAAGGGGAGTGTCTAGGGATACGCATAGGCTCACGATTGGTGTGCCTCCAGGCTTGGAGGGCTTGCCCTGTGTTGGTTAGTCAACTGGTTGTTATGGCCCATAGGCGCTCCCAGGGTGGTTGCTATGCTTTGTGCATCATTGCTGTGCGCTTGTCCGTAAAGCACACCCAGGGTCGTAAAGCATAGCGCCACCAGCTAACTTCTGATTGGTTCCTTGTCATGAGGCAGGCATCTGACCTCTAAATGACCAAGGCAAGTCATGGCAAGCACGTGTTCGGCTGTTATGGCTGCCGAAAGGGAAGCTGGTCCCTTCACAACTAGGGGCCAGGAAGGTTGTCACAAAAAGTAAAACAAATGCCACCTCTTGACAGGATGAAGAGAATCTCTTCTGTTAGTGGTTATTAGTGGTTAGTGGTTATTTGAGTTCATGCAAAGTTGAAAAATAAGATGTTGAGATGGAAATCAAAAGAAGCTTGATGAGGCAGAGTTAGAAAGAAGCAAATGATGAGTCTGGAAAAAATAACAAGTGGCCAGAGAATGAAATATTATGAAGGCAGAGAGACCAACGATTTCAAGACCATTAGGGTGGAAGTTGACAAGTTCCATCAACTTCTAATGAATTGAGCATATGGCATTCGGATAAATTTGAGACATCCAGATGGAGATACACAGCAAGGAGTGGCTGAACATGATGCTGAAAGGTAAGAGAGAACACTTAGATACAATAAGCAAGATACAATAAGCAAGAAAGGTAGGTTTGGTCATCATCTGCCATTAGGTCATATTTCAGTCTTTGAAGATGAATGTGGTATCACCAAATATATCAGAATGAATAAATACAACCCCTGATGTCAAAAGCATGGGGATAACCTGCTGGTTTTCCTATCAGCGCTCAAATCTATAACAGTAATGGTCTAAATTGAGCTCCAGAATAGCTCAGAAGCATACAGACTGTGGTCATGCAGAATTTATAAACATAAGTACAGCACACAGAATGGAAATAGGCACTTCTTAGGGCAGGCCTATCTCAGAAGGAAGCTTTACAAATAGTTTATAAATGCTGACACTGTGATATCTACTTCTGCTTTCTCTCTGTTGTGCCTCTAACACTGTGGTACCTTCCTATGCTTTTTCTCTGCTGTGCCTCCTTCTCAATATGGCCCAAACAGTCCAAGGAAACACAGAGGCTTAAGGGCATTTGTTGGTATAACCACTAACTAGTACCACAGAGGCCAGGCAGGGTTTTACATGTTCTATGTACAGTAATTTATTCGATGGACAGTGACTGGACTCTTCAAAACTTCACAAAGTCTCAAAACAAACAAAAGAAAACAGAAAAACAGTTGCTTCAAATTTATATCACAGATGGTGGGAACAAACATCCTGCACTGCTGCCATTGTAACTCTAGTTTATAAAAGGGCTGGAATTATTTTTAATCTAACAACCCAGACCTTCCAGGGACTACTTTAATGATGAATGTTACACACAAATTCCATCGTGCCTTAAGAATCTATTTCAGTTTCTTGTTGGTTATTAGGTTTCTGTATGGCTAATGTTGTGCTGAAAGTTAGAGAGAGAAAATAAACTCTGAATTAAACAACAACAACAACAAAAAGCAGCCTGCAATGTACTGCTCATCTTTTCTCAGAATCTTGTGCAATGGAATGAGTTCAAGATGAGATCTTGCTAACAGTAAAATTCTATAAATGAGAGTGCTATAAGCCAACTATTGAGTCTGGCAAAGCGGGGCATGGGTGATCAAGATGAGGCTCTGGGAAGAATTGGGGAGGAGACAGAGTATGTTCAAACTAAATTGTATGAAAAAATTACAAATAAATAGAGAGTGGCGGCAGTGCAGTGGTTGAGGTAGAAAGGATGTTACAGAGGATTGACAGGTAGACTGGCGGTGAGAAAAAGAAGAGATTGGGCTGGACCATCCAAAAGCTCATTGCATTTAGCACTGGAGGCTGTGAGCATTTTCTCTTCTCTGAAACCTTGAGGTCAGTTTTGGTGAGGACCAACATTTATAACAAATGCTCATCCCATTTCTCTATACAAATTGGTTGATTAGCAGCAGCTCAAATTTGAAGTGGTCTCGAGCTGAATAAATCAGCCAAATATTGCCATCTATCCCTTTACTCTTCATTCATCTCCTTCTGATTTCTGTGACTCTGCACTGAGGAAGCTAGTCTTTTAAGAAGCATCCATGATAAATAACAGCTACAGGAGATTCACCACACACGGCTATTGGGGGGAGATTGATTGGCTGATTTACATTGGTTTCTTTGCACAGTCCTAGAATTTTGCTGCCCACCATTTCCTCACATTAACCTCCACAAATTTGTCCACTTCACAGGCTCTCTACTAATGGGTCAATGGAGAGACTCTTCACACCATATTATCAACAGTTTCTACTGCATTGCATACTCATACTGAAGCTTGTAATAGGTTAACAAATATGTAGAACTTCAACTAATCATCATACCCTTGTTTATGGAAAACTAGTGTTGATAGTACAATAATTGTTTTCCATAGATTACTTTATTAAATAAAATGCACTGCCATATTTTAAATTTATGATTAAACTTTATATTCTGTAACATGGAAGTCAAGGAGATACCTGGAGCTCTCTTAACTGAAATATTTTTCTGATGTATTGATTCTGTGGCTTCATATGCATTGTAATACATTTCTGCCCTAAATTATGTAAGAGGGGAAAACTGACTATAGTTTAATTTCATGTGTAGATTAATATATATCTCTCTCCAAATAATATAAGCATATTAGAGGCAACATGGTACAGCAAAAAAAATACAGGGCTGAGTTAACATATGTGAGATCTTACCAAGGCTCAACCACTGACTGACTGTTGATATGATATGTGAACTGTTTAATATCTAGGTATCACATATAGTCCCATATACACTAAAGGACCCTGGTACAAGACATTCTTTCCAGCTGGTATGAACCTAACAAATAAGGATGCACCCAATTTTGTGGAATTTGGAGACAAGGTTTTCAGATAGAAAAGAATTTGGTAATAGTTACTTAAAAGGAAATTTTAAATAAATTATTTTGCCATTTACTTGACATCTGACAGAGAAAATAAGACATTACAAAGGTAAGAACCATTTTTTCTTGCTCACTGCTATCACACACACACACACACACACACACACACACACACACACACACACACACACACACCTAATAGAGAGATAATCAATAAACTGGGAATTTTGAGGCACCTAAAGGAAAAGGTGGAATGAAAACTGAAGATATACAGAGTGAGTCACAGCATACACAAACCCATGGAACCCACTGTGAAGCCAGTCTCAACTGTACTTATTGCAATATAAGAAGCATGGAGTGGTAGCTGAAACTCCTTCTCTTAGTTTAGTGCAGTAACTTTACCTCGTTTGCTTTTTAATTGAAATTGAAGAATTTGAACGTTTTTGATTAGTATGACTCTTCTCTGACATAATACAAATATTCCCCTGAAAATCAAAGGAAAACCCTGCCTTTGAAAGGCTTTATCCTCCCTGCAAATGTACAGTTAAACTGACTCACAATAAACAAAAACAAACTAAGACATACATTAAAAGGTGGTTATGAGATGTTTAGTCTTTGAGAATTCGGCTCTTTTGAGTTAGCAGGATCTCACAGAACCATCTGACTTTTGGGGAGCGTTTGTTTATCCTGATTTCCTGAAATTACCAGGAACAATTAAAGTTTAGAGATACCCTGGATTTTTTTCTCTCCATTTGGAGGGGCCTAATGGCCCATCTGCAGATCTGGAGTCCTATGTGCACATATGGCTCATAATTTATGAAATGTGCTTATTTACATGTTACAATTCTTACTTTCTATTGTTTTGAAAAGCAAATGCATCCTATATCTTCTCTTGACATGCAGACATATATTTAATTATAGGACAACACAGCAGAGAGCTGTCAGGCTCAACAGCATGAGAGCTGATGCTTGCCTGTTCATAAACAAAGAAGAGGAGGGATCCATAGAGCCACTGGAGGACATTCTGCTCTGTTGGACATTCTATATAGTGGTTAGGACTCACCAGAAACAGTTGGAGGCACACCTTCCTTCACTTGAAGAAACACCTGAACTTGACCCTCACCTGAAACTTAAAAACAAAACCAAGGTGAGTGTGACGCAAAGATTGCACACAGAGGAGAATGATAGCATTGCATTTTATTTTCCCACCCAAAACAACAAAACAAAATTTGTAAATGAAAGAGAAAAGAGTCCTTTCTAACTAATCGAGCACATGATTTCTACCATTCTATTTGGTTTGCTTTGATTTGATTAAGCATGATGGCAGAGAGATAAGCAGTGAGGGAGGAAAACACTGTAGCATGTGATCCGTGGAGGCTGCTGGTGTCCAGCAGGTGTGCCTGACTTCCTGTGTCTATAATTTTGTAAGCTCAGTGGTAGAGTGCATGTATTTCTCACCAACAGAGTTGAGATCACCCATGAAATGTATTTGCTTTACCTTTTCCCAAACAAATTGTCCTTTTAATGAAGGTTTTCTCCCACCCTACTCCCCCTTTCTCCTCCCTTCTTCCAAACCAACTAAGCACATTTAAAAGGCCTGGGGTTCATTAATTTTAAGTGTTCAATAAATTAGTGGAAATAATCAAAAGGCCTGATTCTTTCTGATAATGACAATTTGATGTCAGTATAAACCAGTAGATTAAGCTGGGAACATATGCTCCTTTGCCAGGAGAGGCTGCTATAATTAAATAGTGAATGCATCTACAAGGTGCTCTCATGCCTGATTAATTAGTAATCAGGTGCACGAACTCTATCTTTCTGGTAACACCTTGTTTCTTATTGGTTAATTACCTTTCTGCCTTATTCGATGTCATGTGAGCCAGCCCCTCCCATCACTGCTAATGCAGCTGCAGGCTGCAGCCTCAGGGTCTTGGCAAAACTCATGCTCTCCATTTTTGTTTCACTGGGACCCTAAACTCTTTCTTCCATCACAGATGGGACAGAGCAAATGTCATTCTTTTTCATTACAAAGCATACGCTTCAGAACATTAGAAAGAAAATAATCCCCAAAGAGATCCAAATGAGATCTCTCCAATTCTTCTACTCCTATTTTGATCACTTTGTCATGTTTTTCAATTATAAAATACATGAGGCTTGCCTTTCCCTTTATATCATATCTAAGATCAGGCACACTGGCAACCCACTCATGATACTATTGATATGATCATTTTGTGTGTATGTACATATGTATATGTATGTGTATATATGAAGTGTGCCACAGTACCTGTGTAGAAGTCAGAAAATAACCTCAGGTATTGGTCTTTGGGTATTTGTCCTCGGGTATTGGTTTTTGAGTATTGGTCCTTGGGGATTGGTCTTTGGGCACTCGTCCTTGGGTATTGGTATTTGGGTATTGGCCCGTGGGTATTTGTCCTTGGGTGTTGGTCCTCGGGTATTGGTCCTATTAGTCGTCAGATATTGGTCCTCAGCTGTTGGTCTTCTCTTTGTACCTTGTTTGATTCAGGATTATTACTTGGTTTTCTGTTACATATGCTTTCTTAACTAACTCACAAGCTTATGTAGAATTCTGGCTCTGCCTCCCATCTTAGCACAGGAACCCTGGGTAGGATTACACACATGTGCTATGTATCTGGCTTTCATATTGGTTCTGAATATTTAAACTGTCTTTAAGTTTGCATCCATTGAGCTGTCTCCCTTAAGTGTTCCTTTTTATGATCATTGCTAAGACCTTCCTTAAATTCTTATTTTCTTCCTTTTGTATACTCATCTATCTCTCTCTTCTTGTATACTCATCTCTCTCTCTTCCCCCTACACTCACCTATCACTCCCTTCTTGTGTATCTCTATCTATCTATCTATCTATCTATCTATCTATCTATCTATCTCCCATCTTCTTTTCTTTCTTTCTTAATTAATAGGGCAGGAGAGATAGGTCATTGATTAAAAGCACTGACTGTTCTTCCAGAAGACCCTAGTGCCATTTCCATCACCCACGTTGGCCAGTTGCCTGTAACTCTAACTCTAAAGGGTCTAATGCCCTCTTCTGGTGTCTGCAAGCATTGCACACATTGGCATAAACCCACACATAAGCACATACATATACACAAAATTACAAATAAAATAGAAATAATTAAAAATTAAGTCACCAGTCATCCATCTCACCTTTTCTCTTTCTTTAAGTTCTAACACATTCACTTAGTGTGGCACATGGTTTTGTGCCACACTAAGAAAAAACTGCTTATTAGTTCCAAACCATGATATTTCTCGTTTGTTTTCAGTTCAGTAACTATCTATAATTACATAGTAATTAGTAATTAAGGATTGTAACAGTAGCTAGCACTGACTCTAAGTTTTGTTTTGTTTTGCTTTGTTTTACAGTGTTGGGGAATCCAACCAAAGCCTCTTGCCTGCTGGATATGCACTGCATCTCTGAACTAGACTCATAGCTATAGGAGGTACTTTCTTTTTTAAAAATAGAGTTTTTCCTTCTGTGCCTTCCTTCTGTGCCTGATACTTCTGGGAGTGTAGGTTTTTATTTTCGTGGAGTGATTTACAAAACCCAAGTTCACAGCATTCTAGTCTGGTTACTCAGACTAGACAATTGAAAGGCATTCTGTTTACTCCCATAGATGTGAAAGAATAGTCATCACCATGGTCGTCTTGCTAATAATGATAATTAATTCTAGTTTTTTGTGGATTAAAAGTAAAAGGAAATATGGATAAAATATCATTATGAAACATGGAAATAATTAATTCTAGTTTTTGTGGATTAAAAGTAAAAGGAAATATGGATAAAATATCATTATGAAACATGGAAATAATGACAAAGATTCGAGGTCTTTTTGTAAGAATTGGCATTAAATAGTATCACCTAGTCAATATCAAAGAAAGAGAAACTAGAAAGTATCCCAGGAAACATCTGAAAATAGAAATGAGATCATTTAAAGGTCTTATCAAAGTCATTCTTATATAAAGCTTTACAATACTTTAAAATATCAACCCCGCAAAAAAAGAACAAATAGCATAAGAGATATAGTTGGAGGAATAAAAATAGTAATTATTCTCCACATTAAATTGACCAAAAATAATTTAACGTTAGAGAAAAACAATTCATGCATCCCAAAGACTTTGAATGAAAAGGCTACCGCTCATAGTCATTCTGTGGTTACCACAGGATAATTAGTTCTGTGGCTTAAGAATGTACCCTTAACAGGACTCCCAAGCCATTGGCTTCTCCCTTCTTTTCCTACAGCTCTCATCCATGTACCATTCTTAGTTGACCAAGGCTTTCTGGCTCCATGTTCTATCCTGTTAGCAGTTCATTCAACTGCACTTTAGAGATGGCACCTAGGCTAATCAGTTGTGGATGCTGCCCACCCTCTACACATCCCCCTCCAATTTGACCCCTCTATAAACCCCCTGCAGTGTGCCCCCCTCCACTTCCCCCCTCCAGTGTATCCAGTGTAATTCCAACCCCATACAAACACTGCAAAACTAAAAGTATACTGAAAAGCTATTTTCCACTTTATTACATGTGAGAATGTCCCTCAGCTATGAGGGCAAGAGTCAGAGGATCAGAGAAGACAGAGAAAAAGCTATAAATAGTAAGGGGAAAAAATCACAAGAGTCTAGCTTCCCAAACTTCCATTATGCATGACTGTCTGGAGCTGGCTCTGTGTGTGCACATAGGTGCCAAATGACAAAATGTTCTCAAACATTTTTTTAGGTCAGAAGAGGCAACAGAGGACGGTGGGGAGTACATGGATAATGGATCCCAATAGCAGAGATTTGAATCCTGGCTCTTCCTATTCCTACATAGGAACAACTGGCCAGTGGGTCACGATTTTTGAGCCTCATTGGCATCATCAGAAAACCAGGGGGCTTAGGGTGGGGGGGACTTGTCCTTTGTTATAGGGTCATTGGGTGAAGAAATGTGAGCCAACACAATACATGGCACATGGGCAGCAAATATTAGCTGCCGTTGGTACCACTGTCATGGCATCCTCATCCTTCTCGCCACAGGTTAAGAAGGCTCCAGAAATCGTTTTCACTTGTGTTGCTCTTCCCACAGCTGCACCTCATCAAAAGGAGTAATAGTATTACACATCTTAAGGAGATCTGCTTAATTTTACTAAGTATTTAAACTCCAAAGGGCTGTAAATGTGAAGTGTGGTTTCCAATTTGAATAAAGGGGAGGGATGAAAATCCTTAAATAGTATAGGTATTGACTTGGGAAGAGTTTAAAGGCTTTATCCAAGCTGTGATAGTATGTGTATGGTTTCTCTGAGGCTGTGATTTCCAGTTTTGTATTTGAAATATGAGGGTGGCTAATCATTTTTGTTTATAAGTGAAGCCCCATTGTTGATCTTTCCAGATTGTAGGAAGTGGTCCTCAAAAACAGGGTTCGGGTCACTGAGTACCAAACTATTCTGGTAAACACTATATGATGTAAGCCTGCTATAAACAGAGACATCTAAGACAAAGAGAGGCATGTTTTTAAGAAAATGGCTCCTGGGAAGAGAAAAAGGAAGACAGTTACAAGTCAAGATGCTGTGTCTGGTAAATGTCCTGTCTATAGTCCTAGAGAAGAAAGAAATAGGTACCCCTCACTCTGCCCTTAAGCAAGCCAAAGGCACTTTTGAGGTTGTGAAAGGGAAAGTAAGTGCCTATCTGTTCTAAAAGGAAAAGTGTGCCAGTGCCCTCCAGGACTGGCTTCCTAAGAGAGGTGTTGTATTTGGTCCTGTCTCCCTGTTTCCATTCTAGCTGCCATGCCTGCTGTGTCCATTTCTTCTCTGGGGATCTGCTTTGAGTTCCTTCCCTGAGCACTGAACTTGACCTCATGCTGAAGAAGTTGATGTCTTCTGACTTAGCTGCAAGAAAGCTTGCTGGCCAGTAGGAACCAAGGCGGCTTGGTACATACTCTTGCCTGATTTCAGCATCACTAAGAAGCTATGGAAGTCATTTTTCCCCTCACAACACATGGTCCTTTAAAGGTCCTTATGGAAATAGAGGAAAAATCCTATGTTTGAGCTCTCTCCTACCCCCAGTAATATTCTTTGGTGGTCAGCTTCTATTATTTTCTTAAATAACTTAATCAAGACTGACAGAT